TGTCACAGGATAAACTTAAAGTTTTAAAGCATAAGAGTTTAAAGGTTAATAAGACCAAAATACTCACATTACTTGATTTCAAGACTTAACAGTAATCAAGACAGTATGGTATTGACAAAGGGATAGACAAATAGATCAATGGAACAAAATAGAAAGCCCGGAAACACCCACGCAGATACAGTTAACTGATTTTTAACAAAGAGACATAAGTTAATTCAATGGAGAAAAGACAGTCATCAAATGGTGCTGGAACAATTTGACATCCACATTCAAAAAAATGACAACACTCACATAAAAATTAACTCAAAACAGATCACAGATCTAAATGCAAAATGTAGAACTATATAACTTCTAGAAGAAAAATCCACATGAACTTGGGTTTGGTAATAATTTTTTTACATACAATACATGAAAGAAAAATTAAATGAGTTAGACTTTATCAAATGTTTTGCTCTTCAAAAACTGTTAAGAGAATAAAAAGACAAGCCACAGACTAGGGAGTAAATACTTTCAATCATATTTCTGGTCAAAGATTTGTATACAGAATATAAAAAGAACTCTTAAAACTCAATAACAATAAAAAAGTCCAATTAAAAATGGGCAAAAGATTTGAACAGACCTTTCTCCAAAGACATACAGATGGCAAATAAACACATGAAAAGATGTTCTGCATCATTTGTCATTAGGGAAATGCAGATTAAAAGCACAATGAGCTATTACTACATTAGAATAGCTAACATCCAAAAAACTGACAATAACAAATGCTGGAGGGAATGGGGAGTAACAGGAACTCCCATTCATTGCAGGTGGGAACGCAAAATGGCACAGTTGCTATGGAACATTTTGGCAGTTTTTTTTATAAAGTTTAACATAGATTTGCCACATAACCCAGCAATCATTCTTGTAGGTGTTAACTCAAGTGTTATGAAATCTTATGTCCACAGAATAACATGTACACAAATGTTTATAGCAGCTTTATTCATAATTGCTAAAAACTGAAAGCAACAAAGATGTCCTTTAATGGAGGAATGGATAAACAGACTATGTATGGTAATTCCATAGTTCAGCAAAAAAAAGGGAATGAACTATTAATACATGCAACAACACACATGAATCTTAAACGCATTTTACTTAAGTGAAAGAAGTCAGACCCAAAAGTCTACCTATTGCACGACTGCATTTGTGTGACATTTTTACCGGAAAAGGTAAAACCATGGGGACAGAAAACAGATTAACGGTTGCCAGGGGTATGAAGAAGGGTAGAATAGATGACTACAAAGGATACACACAAGGGAAATTTTAGGATGAGAGAACTGTTCTGTAGGGTACTGGAGGGGTTGATTCATGGCTCTATGCACTTGCAAAATCCATAGAACTATATATAACAAAGAGTAAAATTGAATGTATGTATTAAAAAAAAAATCAACCATGATGTTGAGGGACCCCAAGATGGAATGCAGACTGTGACAAATGAATCTAACTGCATTAGAACTGCGTGGAGAACTGCATTGAAGGAGACAGTGGAAGAAAAGAAAGATGACCTAAGTAACTTTACAAAACATTTTGACTAGAAATTAGAAGGCTAAAGACAAAAGGACTGTATTTAAATGGTATACGCAGGTAAATCTGTTTCTCACAGGAGAATGAGTTAATACTGAAACTGCCCTGCAGGTATATTGGGACTGTACTTAACTAAGTAGGTGCACAGTGACCAGGAGGAGCCAGGTCTCTCACTGTCTGAGAGAAGTTACAGATAAACAAAGAAGGAAGGGAGGGATAACCCCTGGGGGACTGGATTAGTCAGAGACATCAAGTTTGAACTTATGTTTCTTTAGCATATGTACACATGGAGAGATACACAAACCATTATAGATGTGTGCATACACACAGATTAGGATACATACATATATTGATATTTTCTAGCTCTGTTTGCTGAGAGGGCCTAGGAGCCATGACACTCCAGTAGCAACAAGCACACCAAGTCCAGAACTTGGTTTCTAAATTATATTCCCCCACAGAAGGAACTAGGGTTCCTTGGAGAAGTGGCCGAGTCTAGGACTGCATCAAGGCAAATGCAAGATGAGCCGAGAGCATCTTGTAGTGACAGAAAGTAAGAAGGAAGTGCTCAAAAAGCAAAAGAAGGGGACAGGTCAAAGAGAACTGACCTGAAAATATCTCCCAATGGTCAAAGCTGGAACAATATAGGCAACAGAATATATAAATAATGTAGTATTAAATTTTAACCCAAAATATAAAATATTCATGAGTGCATACTGATGAATATCCAGGAGTCCATTTATTTATTTAAAGATTGAATAAATAGGGACTCCCCTGGCTGTCCAATGGTAAAGAATCCACCTTCCAGTGCAGGGGATAACAGTTCAATCCCTGGTCGAGGAGCTAAGATCCCACATGCCGCGGGGCAACTAAGCCTGCACGCCGCAACTACTGAGCCTGTGCGCCTCAACTAGAGAGCCCACGTGCCAGAAACTACAGAGCCCACACACTCTGGAGCCTGTGGGCCACAACTACAGAGACAAAACCCACACACCACAACTGGAGAGAAGCCTGCACGCTGCAACGAAGAGCCCGTGCACTGCAACAAAAGATTCTACATGCCGCGATGAAGATCCTGCATGCCATAACTAAGACCCGATGCAGCCAAAAATGTAAAATAAAGACAACTCTTCCTTACAGAAGGAATTCACATTGGGCTTCCCTGGTGGTTCAGTGGTTGAGAATCCGCCTGCCAATGCAGGGGGACACGGGTTCAAGCCCTGGTCCAGGAAGATCCCACACGCCGCGGAGCAACTAAGCCCATGTGCCACAACTACTGAGCCTGCACTCTAGAGCCCGTGAGCCACAACTACTGAAGGCCACAAGCCTAGAGCCCATACTCTGCAACAAGAGAAGCCACCGCAATTAGAAGTCCGTGCACTGCAATGAAGAGCAGCCCCCACTCGCCACAGCTAGAAAGCCCACGCACAGCAACGAAGACCCAATGCAGCCAAAAATAAATAAATAAAAATAAATCTAGAAAAAAAATAAAGGATTATTTTTAAAAAATAAAATAAGGGAACATTGTTTAAAAAAAAGAAGGAATCCAAATAATATATGAAAAATCTTCCTCTCTAGGAGATGAAACTTAATCCCCACCCCTCCCTGAAAGGGCAGGCCAGACTTAGTGACTTACTTCCGAAGAATAGAGTTTGGGAAAGGAAAAATGGTAACTTTTACAGTGGAGAAGTAGGGCAAACCTGACCTTCACCAAGTGACAGAGATTAACATCATCTGTAATGTCATGTGGACATCAGCACCCAATACGATGTGGTGAGAAGGGCAGTTCACCTCAGTGGCATTCTTCCCCCAAACCCATAACCCCAGTCTAATGATGAGGAAAACATCAGACAAACCCAGGTTCAGGAACATCCAGATAAGATATCTGGCCAGGACCCCTTAAGAATGTCAAGGTCGTGAAAAACATGGAAACAAAGAAAAGACTGAGAAAATATCACAGACCAGAGGAGACTAGGGAGACATGACAGCTAAATGCAATATGATCCCCAGGGTGGATCCTAGAACAGAAAGGGGACATTAATGGAAAAATTGATCAAATCCAAATACAGTCTAGAGCTTAGTTAATAGGAACATACCAATGATCTAAGCTTCTTAGTTTTGACAAAGGACCACAGTAATTTAAGATGCTAACAAAGGGGGAAATAGGGTAATACAGGAACTCTGTATTATCTTTACAACTTTTCTGTAAATCTAAAATTACTACAAAATAAAAAGCTTATTAAAAAAAGAAAAAAGGTGTGAGTTCCCTGGTGGTTAGGACTCGGAGCTTTCACTGCCCAGGTGTAATCCCTGGTCCAGGAACTGAGATCCCACAAGCCGCGTGGCATGGCCAAAAAAAAAGAAAAAAGGAAAAGAAAGAAAAAAGTTAAATAGTAGTTGATTAGAGGAAAAACAGTATGTTGAAAGTATGCTATTTAGTAAAAGAGCAAACTGTTAACTTTGCACTGAAAAATAATTAGAGCTCATTCTCTAGAAACAAGGCCAAGACAGTTGAGAATCTGACCTGCTATGGATGTTACTTAACCTTAAGTCTGTTTCCTCATCTGTAAAATGGGCATACAAACTTATTTCCTAGGGTTGTTGTAAGAATTAAATGATAAATTAGTTATTAAGTAATAAGGTTTTATCATTTGTTTACTGCCTTTGTGAATTTTGCCATATGCTTGTACCATCTGTTCTTTTGTTTGTTTGTTTGGTCATGCAGAGTGGCATGCAGAATCTTAGTTCCCCAACCAGAGATCGAACCTGTGCCCCCTGCAGTGGAAGCACAGGGTCTTAACCACTGGACCGCCAGGGAAGTCCCTTGTACCATCTGTATCATATTTTATTTATTAAATAAAAGTCCTTAAATGGACTTAGTGTACTAAAATAAATTTATTTTTAAAGAAAATTTTATAACTATTGTAAATGAAAAGCTGTTATTATTTTTCTGCTACATGTTCTGTCATATCAGGGATAGCACAACCCATGGAAAACAGAAAGCATACTAAACATTTAGCACTGCCTGGTACATATTCAGCAGCTAATAAGTACTAGTTATTAACAATATATCTCAGAATAACCATTATGAATCATCATTCTATATATCCTTATGTCATTAGATCCTCTTAAGGGTTATTTTGCTTTTAGTTTTATCTTTGTTTTCTTCCTGTGAGCTACAGTTTCTCACTATAGTCTGCATATCTACTTCTAGAATTTTAATTTATTTCCAAATTTATAGATATAATGAACAAGTTAAAGTTACAAAGAATCTGGCTGGTAAGTAGAATGTTAATTAACCTCTTTATATATTCATAGTTTAGTAAATACTGTTTAAGTGAACAGTGACACCATAAGTTAATAATAGGATTTCAGGACTAAGAGAAATTTAAAAATTAAGACTAACCCCTTACTTTAGAGATTTCTTCCCTAGATCACACAGTTAATTAGTGGCAGACCTAGACAAAACCCCAAGGTTCCTGATGCCCAATTCAGTGCCCTTTTATGGCCTTTTAAATTCTGCTTACAACTGGGCTTTGATCATAGATATATAACAAATTGTTTTCACTCCCTCCTATTATTTGGGGTAAACGGTAGGTAGGGTATGTATGATAAGAACACCTGGCCCTAGGGAGCTTAAGTAACTTGGCCACATCTCACAGACCAATTAATCATCAGTATTTTGTCTTAAGTTCCAGCCTAAGGTCTCTTTGTCTCCTCCATAAAATGCACTGCACTGCTTATCATAGAAAACAGTGTTACCAAGATAAACAGGTCACAGATACTGAATATTTAAAAAACCAAAATATTATTGTATATAATTTCATATTGACACATGTAATGAAGCATTATTACAAGCAAATAAACTCATTTTGAGAAGAAAACTTTTCTCTTACTTACCTGCCTTGTTCTCACTGAAAGACTCCTCTGAAGAAAAACTCTTATTTTCATCGGTTTTACATTCCCTTGAAGAAATGACTCTATCTGATGCATCCTGAAAATAATGAATAAGTAAAATTAGGAAACCTATAATTCTTAATCATTTTCTATTTAGTGAACGAATCCCCATAGGTCTGCTTCTAAAACAGAGTATGTAGTTTATTATGAATTATATTTCATAATGACTTTAAATTCTCAATTTTCAGTCTACTTTAAGGAAAATTCCTTTTATATCTACTAAATGTAATATTTTAAAAGAGTGCGCATATTTAAGTCTATGATTTGTCATCTGTCAAAAATGTATTATTTCCTGACAAAGATGACAGAATGAAGATTACAGAACATCCTTCTACAAAAATGAATTGAACAACAACAAAATTAGTGAAAACAGCAAAAATTTCCCCAGCAGCTGCAAAACTGAAAAGGAACAACCTTTTGTCACAAGCTTTAAAATCAGGGAGCCAAGGAAAGAAAAAGAACATTCTGGGGTAGTTGGAGAGGCTTCTAAACTCCCACTTTTGGGGCAGTAGCAGAGACTAACACTACTTATTTGGTAAGACTCAGAATATATAGCTTGGGGGAAAAGGAAAAAACTTTTGATCAAAGAGGAACTCATTCAACATCGTAACATCTCAGAAAAGGTGAGACAACCCATCAGTTTGCCACTTCTCAGGGGTCCATAAGGAGTTGGGGAAAGGTTATGCACCCTCTAATGAAAAACAGGATTCACCCTCATCTAGCAGAGATGAATACTAGTAGTGGGTATTTAACAAAACCTTACGTAGAGAACAGAGCCCAGTTCCACAAATTTAAGATGCACAAATGCCCAGCTTCTCAAACTACTAAAAACTAGGCAGAACCCAAAACCTAACCCCTTAAAATGAAGCTCAGAAAAAAAAAGTCAGAAGAGTACTGCAGAGAAATTATCATGTCATTGTAACAAGACTGTTTCTTCATTATCAAATGGATATGGAGAATACTAATGAGGACCCCTCCCCTACATGCACTTTGCCTCATTGGACTGAGAATTAATTTTAGCTTGAGTTGTGCCCTAGATTTTTAAAAACTGAGTTATATTTATATACAGTGACATGCACAGATATAAAGTAGAGTCTGATTAATTTTTCATAAACATATATCATGTAACCCAAACCCAAAACCCCTATCAAGGTATAGGGGTGTTTTTGTTTTTGTTTGTCAGAAACAAGATGAAGAATTAGTAGAATTTCTGTTATGGCTTTTAGGCAAGCAAGAACACGCTCCATTTAACAATATACTTGGCAATACTTGATAGAAATGCTTACAAGGGCAGCAGGTAAATGAAATTAGCAGGAAAACTGGACTGATCTAGATATATATCCATACGTTGATTTAGTGGAAGGAAATGAAGAGCCCACACCTGTCAAATGGTAGCCTGATACTCCATTCCAGATTACTGCCATGCAGGAATGTGGGCTTAGCTTTGCCAGAGTTCAATTTTTCATGAAACACCAGAAACCTGTTACCTTACATTTAAAAAAAAATGCTGGCTCTAAACATTATGTAGGCCAAGCAAACATCCATGGGCTGGACTTGGTCCACTGGCCACCAATTATAATCTTTGCCATTGAGATCTGAAATGTAGGTGACTACAAGAGGTAGGAACTGGGGTTGAATTTGGGAGGAGGCAATGAGAATAATAAGAGGAGGTGAGGAGGGAAATGACTACAGAGAGAGTTTGAATTGCTCAGCAGTATATGAGCCTCAGAGTGTATGTGAAAGCCTACAGCTGCAAGGGTTGTGATGAACATAAACAAGTCACCACAGACATGGAAGTCGCCAAACTGGGAGCCCTTCTTAAGGCCTGTTGCCTCAACTACTTTCTGCCCTTGGCTACACGGAAGAAAACCACCTTTCTCTCCTTACTGACAAGAGGTCAACAATAGAAGGTATAGACCTGCATTGTCTATTATGGTAGCCACCAGCCACAAGCAGCTAATGAGAACTTGCTACATGGCTAGTCCCAATTGATACATGCTGCAAGTGGAAATAAACATGGATTTCAAGGACTTGGTACAAAAAAAGAATGCAAAATATCTCATTAATAACTTTTTATATTGATAACACAGAAACAGTAACATTTAAAACATATTGCGTTAAACTTTTTAGAAACTATCTTAATGTGGCCACTAGAAGATTTTAAATTACGTGTATTGGTATTCTATCAGACAGCACTAGTCTAGGCCAGCTGGGACAAATAGGAGCACAATAAGAAAAGCATAGAGGGCTTCCCTAGTGGTGCAGTGGTTGAGAGCCCGCCTGCCGATGCAGGACAACACGGGTTTGTGCCCCGGTCCGGGAGGATCCCACATGCCGCAGAGTGGCTGGGCCCGCGGGCCATGGCCGCTGAGCCTGCGCGTCCGGAGCCTGTGCTCCGCAATGGGAGAGGCCACAGCAGTGAGAGGTCCGTGTAC